TAGTCTGAGCTCTCTACGCCTACTTAGCATAACCTGTAGTGTGGACGGCGCTGGGTATTTGACGTGGGAGTTTATAGGTACGATGTGATCACGTCCAAGTCGCGCGGCGGACAACAGAGGGTAATACATCGTAGCGGGAAATTGGCGTCAAGGTCAATTCTAGACTATTCCGAGTGACCTGGCGTAATATCAATCTACGCTCCGATATACGCTTAGGTGCGCTGTCGTGTCCGATCTCCCGTTTGCCATCCCAGCACATCCATTCCACGTCTTCCCGTCGTCGATACGCTAATCCTGCAGACGATACGCCATTTATCCAGGCCCTACGCTGCTTGGAGACGTCAGTCAGCTATTCCGCCCGTTTGTCGCATATTCTTCGGCCCGCTCAGAATGCCTATCCGCAGTCCCATCGCGCAGGGAATGGCTAACCGTTTACTCTCTCACTGCGTACTTTTTCCGAAACTTGTTGATCTCCGTTTCTCGCTCTAAAGATAGACTCACAATCCTTCAACGGGCCACAAAGAGCCACCAGCTCTCGCCGTATAGTCCATAGAGTCGAGATGGAGCGTCACCGTGCTCACTTTGATCTAGGAATCTTCATCGCTTCTGCGGTCTATATCGTCTTCGTCTTCCAGCACAAACTCCTATCGCCATTATCATGAAGCCAAACACGATCAGATAAGACGGCAGTGTTGAAGCCATACTCATCACACACTTTTGGTCATAGTGGGAAGCCATCTGAATAACCAGCCGGGCGCACCCAGCTCTCGATACAATAGAGGTGGAATGGACCAAGTCGGCTTCGTTTGCTACGAGAATGTGAAATGTAAATGGATACGTGTACCTCTTGTGGCATCGGCGTCTGGCTACAACCACAGGTTCTTTGATAATAATATTTTTGGGAAGGTTCCGTGGAAAAATTAGCTGAATGGCCATTCATCGCACGCAAGGTATCACATATCTTTTTGCGTAAAAAAAAGAGGATATGAGCAGTGTACAAGGTGTGGCCTGGGTCAGAGAGGAGCCCAATATGCTAGATAGTCTGTGACTCAAGTAGCACAATGAACTGAACACACTCCCACCTATTCTGATTGCCAAACCAAGAGATTGGATTCCGAGGGGTCATCAAATAATCCATCATGCATCTGGCACAGACAGGAAATCCCATTCGTTCGGCGTCTTCACCATGGAATTGGCTATGAGCGTTGGGAGGTGCCGGTAATCTGGCAACTCGATCTACGCTGCACTAGTCCCCTGGCGGACCATTTTTGGGAATCCCACAATAAGATGGAGGAAACCGCCACTTGGAATGGCAAAGAAATGATGCTTTTAAATAGTTGACCCTACATTGTCGTGAAATCAAATAGGACATAAATGGTTAATAATAATACGCTGCACTGGTGCAAGCGGATCTTATGCTCTTCTCACGCCGATTCCGTGCTATTCACACATCACATCTCCGCGGTCCTGTTGAAAGTGATAGGTTCAACGCAGCAATTTCCTGGTTAATTATATACACGTCAAATTTACATCTAAGCCTTGAATAGGGGCAATGTCAGATAAGCTACTGTTGCCCCTTTATTGTTCAGGCTGACAATTTTATTTGAATATAAATACTCTTATTCCAATGGGCTCACAAGCTGCGGTTGCTCAGTGGTAGAGCGGAGGATTGCAGCTAACTACGACATCCTCAGGTCCTGTGTTCGAACCACAGTCGCAGCTGTAATTTTAAAACTCTTTTTGACTAGTGAAATAGAAAATCACTCAATTATCCGGCATCTGGCACCATCGTTCATTTTACCTGGTTTTCGTGCAAGCAAACTCGGCACGAAACTCGCGATAATAACTCACAGTGCTGCTGCATTTCCAAGCCGGGAATAAATGAGTTGGGTGAGTGGGCTAAATATTCGTTTGGCTCTTCGAAATTCCCTTGTCATTAGCGTGCTCACTGATATTCATCACCGAAAATTGTTCACATAGGCTCTGTGTTTTCACTTCTCGCTTAAAATTGTCGATAATATTGATGATAAACTGAGACTTGGAAGGCAGGCAAGTTCTATCAATGCCGACACTCGGGACATCAATGAATAAGTTTCCAGGAATCCCCTCTTGCTCTCCACTAACACATGACAAGGGCCCAAAGTGGTCTAGCAATCCAAATTCGAAGCAAGCACATTGGGCTCAATTCGTGTTTGCATAGAAGAAAAGTAGCAGGAGTCTCCGATGCATGCTGTCCGTGTGGCTACCAATCTCAAAATCCCAAGCACATGATCATGTCCTGTCCTAAGTGGTCAAGTGGTAGGGGTGAGATCTGGAGAAAAGTCCGAAAACGCTCCTTTGAAGCAATGATAGACAATCCTGGCGCTATTAAAAAATAACGCAATGGATTCTTAGTCATGGTTGGACAGATCAATTCAGCATGACAAATGCAGTCGAAATGCTGATTAGGGACCGAGATGGGGCCGGCACAAGGTTGGCGTCGTTGCCGGCAACGTGATTGATACACACAGACGGCACTACAGTGTAACTGTGCTTCCTGGAGGATAAATTGCAAATTTCAAGGATACTAATCAGAAAGCTGGGGAGGCTTTCACCGAGAGGTTTCCTCCTATGTAAGTATAGAGATGAGTTTATAGCCACCTGCATGAGCCCGTAGGTCGGCAAATCAGGATAATGAAATCAAATCAAGATAGGTATTGATAAAGGACCGCATAGTTGCCGACTAGAAATAGTAGCGAAAGTGAAAATATCCGAGAGGAATTCGGTCGGCAAAAATTTCTCGACGACAAAAGTTCGCCATGGGCTCTTCAAGACGTGTCTCATACATGTGGCATGGCTTCACTCGTTTCTCGCCCTACAACAGCTCCTCTCGTTCAAGGCCGTTAATTTCTGAGCCTAGATTGGAGATGTAGCAACTAGTATCTACTCAAACCCCCGGGAAAAATGTAGGTAATCAAGCGTTTGAGTTAAAGCGTCTCATTTTGGCTCGAAGCGGGAATCTACTCACCCCGCTCTGAATCAGAACAAACTTTCATTTCAGCAGAAGTGAGAGGGCCAAGGTAAGCTGCCCCATTCTTTTGCATGGCGAGAGACTTTTGACAAACATTTAATGTGCATTCAGCCACGACACAGGAGCGGTGCTATGCATGCATGTAGGAGGACTCTATTGACGTTAGAGACACTCATGCTCTGGAATTCATTCGCAAATACCACCTTGAGTTATGCTTGCTTACACAAACAGTCGTCCCTCCTCCCCAAGTACTCACCAAAGAGAAATTCAAACCCTTTGATTATCCAAGCTTGCCTTTGCCATCCACGTAAGCTTGCACCGCGAGGAATGTAGTTTAGTTTTCTCAGGTCCGAAGCAGCGTTCTCCTGTCTCGAGTGGAATAAGTGTCCCAGCTATCTAGACCTTGGCTGAGAGACCGAGCCAGATGGTTTACCACTGCACCATCCAACCATGGCAATTTTTTACAATGTGGCCTGCGCTCTGGCAGGAGACTTATTCCTAAGGCTTCTATCTGTTCGATGAGCATCTAGCTTGAGCTATGTCTTAATAGATAGAGACGCAGAGATCACTGATTTGAATTGCAGTTTGTTTGTTGTATTATTTTACGTCTAATTAGAGTGAGCCTTAGCCCTTTGCTCTACATACCCAACCGGATAAAGGACGAAAGAGCTTACTACTCTAGTTGCCTGAGGCGCCCATATTCACAAACACAAGAACGGAGACCCATTAAATTACTTTACGTGTGTGTGTGTGTGGGCAAAACCCAACACAAGACTTGAGCTCTTGGACAAATTTCATCTGCACTACAGGCAGCGCCGACGAAGCGTTAGTCATGGGAACTTTCAAAACTTGGAGTCGAGAGAGACTTTGGGCGTCTCTAGGACAACGCCTGTTCCGTCCTTCAACGTAAGAGCATTCAAGTAATCGATTGTACAGTTTATGCTTAACTCAGCTCAAAGTGGAAAAGGTGTTACTCAATCTTGGCTCTGCAGACTCTACAGCGAGAACTGGAGGTTCGTAGGGAACACCACTGACAGGTGTTGAGAATAGTTCCTCACCTCGTGCCGATAACTGGACTAAATTGAGGCAAAGCTGCCCTTCCAAAGCGGATAGGTGGGCTAGTCGTTAAGTAGCCTAGATGTAAACTCATAGAGGTTAGGTGTAACTTGGGTAAGAAAGGACCCCCAAAGGTAAGCTGTATCTCAAAGTACACAAGTATCGATAGTTTAAAAATCGTGGCTATCTCAGCTATGATCGCTTCCAAGCTAGATCCAGCGTGAGGAATTATTGTGTAGGAAATTCAGATTCTTCATATCAGGGCTCATATTCCGCGAGTTTCGGATAGGTTTGCGCCTTGATCAGTTCACGCCTTTTATCTATCCGATAGGCTTGCTTGTTTGTAAATTAACGTGCTATATAATTAGTACCTTCTACAATCCTATGGGAGCTTGAGCACGAGTAGGGCCGGGCCGGGCAGGATCAGGTTTACTACCACTGAGTACGTCTACATCGTCCTACCTCATTCTTCACGCCTATTTCGAACATGTCAAGTCCAACCGTCTACTGAACCCGATTTTAGAGCGTCAAAGCGCGAATTCCTCAGAGTGGATCCCGAAGATCCTACAGGGCTATGGCTAGAGCAGACCTCGGAAACACGGTACATAGATGTTCACAACTTTCTCATGATCCTGCATGTAAAAAATCTCAGACGATCACAGTAGCGGTTAACTGGCGTTTAGGGGTAATATAAGGTGTAGGTGTCTGGGTATACTGATAACCTAAAAATAGTAAATTCAGAGTCCACGTACTAGTCTCAAACTGCACACAAGCCCCGTTGTAGTTAGGTACCACGAGACACCACGTGATTATCATCATAAATTCTTACATCCACGCGCTGTTGGACATTGGTGAGATTTACATTGGAGGGTTGGTCGCACTTCCGAAATTTCAAGAAAAGAATAGGAAGAAATTGCCCAATTAATTTCTCGCCATGGCCAAAAAAGAAGATCTCTCGACAACTGCTGGAGACAGTAAAAATCTTCTCGAGCACTTCAACGCCCAACAATTATTCAATGAAAAGCTTAAATCCTGGTTCGACGGATTTGAAAGTGTGCTCAGTACTCAGACTGATCTAGTCGTGTGCCATGTCACCGAGGAAAGCAAAGAATTGAGTTCCCGAATGGATAAAATTGAGTCACGGCTAGAACAATTCGAAAATAAAATGGACCGTATTGAAACCCTACTAATTGACATCTCGTCGGGCTTGAAAAATAGTCCACCGCAACAGCCCGACCTCCACTCCGAAGACCAGTCTGTAAGATCCCCGCCTCCAGAGAAGGTTTCAACTTCAGCTGTCCAAATTGATGATGGTAAAGCCCCAGCAGGGTCTCATGCCAATATGCCGGATGAGAGCAACGAATTTAACACTATCGAAGAGACAAAAGATCCCGTCTTGTCTCCCAGCCAAAAATTTGTCAAAGATGCCTGGCCACAAGCAATACTTCGTCATGAAATCAATCATGAAACAAACACCAATGTTAGTAACAATGTGATTCTTCGGCCGGATCTTTTCCTCGATAAAGCGGACTCTTCTGTATTTGTGAAGCTTGCTGAAATCCAATCGGCCTTCAGAATTTCTTTGGTTCCGTACTGGTATTGGCCATGGCGGCTTTGCCAACAGATGAGGGACGACTTCCAAGGCACTCGTGTTTGGGCCGAAGAAAATATTTTCGTGACATGGCCAATGCTCCTGGAGGAAATTTTCAAGACTATGCAGCGACTAGGTGTCCTCCATTCTCCAGGGACTATTTTCTCCCGTCTCACCGCTAGAAGCGGAGAACACATCGATTCCTTCGCTATGCGAATAAAAGATTCTTACTATCAATTATCGAGACTGGATAGAGAAAGTGACATAACTCGCAATGCCCTTTCTTACATCGTACAAACTTACATTCCACAAGTTTGGACGCATCTCCAGCCGATGATGGTGGGAAAGCCGAATTATCATTGTATCGATACCCTTGTTCAGATAGCAAGAGGAATATCCATGTGGCCAACACAGGTAAAATACTGTGTCAACAAAAATTAATATCTTTATTAGCACAGATTCAAATCGGCAGGCCAATCATGCCGTAGTGGATTCTTAATTGAAATAGTCTGCGCTATTTCAGGCACAAGAGACAGTTGTATCCACACTTTCCACATCAGAAAACTTGTTCCCAATACACGACGGTAGCTACGCAATTTGTAAAAATATGGGACATTCAGCTGGAGAATGCTCCCTAAACATCACTCGAAAACTAGCATCGTAGCATTGTAAGTAGGGAAAAACAGTCTTGTCAGGAATAGATTCTCGGCTCTCTTGAAAAAAACCGTAGCACCCGGCTAGACTAGAGAAACACAGTACCTGTATAGTAGATTCTATAGACCCTTTTGATTTACCTAAAAAATACAAACAACGATGAAAGTCACCTTGTATCTCGTTGCTCCCAACTTTAATGGGTCTTGTACAGAGCTTGAAACTATTTTGTGAATTCTATATCATCTAAATTGGGGTTATCTGCATGCCTAAATACATCCATCCTCTATAACCTTTCAACGCCAGCTATCCGCTATTGTGATCATGTGAGATGTTCTATATATAGGGTCGTGCGAACATTATGAGCATCCATGTACCGTGGTTTTGAGGTCCGGTTTAGCCATAGCCCTGTGGGATCTCCGGGATCCACATCAGACTCAGTCTCCACGCGCCCGAGCCCTCAACATCCTGCTGCTCTTGTACTTTTCCATTTCGTCCCAGATTTGCCTCATACCAGCAACGTGGTATTTTCCTGACTCGATGCCCAATCGAGTCGCCTACTGAGGCCACCTCAGCCTTCCTCGCCTTTTTTCTTCCACTCCAGTTTTTCCTAACCCATCTTCTGATATAGTCATCTTGGAAACTTTGTAGACTGTGCATCCCTCCGGCCTTGCTCCATCACTGTATACCCCTAGCCGTGGAGACCGAGTATAGGTTTAAGAGCTCAAGTCTGATGCTTCAGCCCTTCTCGAATGCTCAATTGATGTGGCTGCGGAATGTCGTACGTATATCGTTGGTGGCGATTCGTCGCAGCTCGAGTTGTTGGTGCCCTTGGCTGAGGTGAGGACGCATTTAAGGTCGGTACTTTGACCGTGCTTTCACCGCCGCCAACACTTGCGGAGAGATGGATCTCTTCGTATATCTTGGACTCTAGTTCTTGTTGTCGACCTTTGGAGTATTACGGTCGGCGATGGAATAACTATGGAGAGAGTCACTGGATGATTTTAGCGGAGAAGTTTCTTTCGGGATAGCTCGAGAATACAAAGTGTATCAGTTTTTTGATACGTATTTTAGACAGGTTTGATACTATCTGAAGTCCTTATTTGGGGTGTGAATATTTGTATTCGTTAGGTTGTATGGTGGTGAGATCTCTGCCGGTCGGATCTTCGAACGAAACCTGTCCAATACCATTCCTCCCGACCGCAATCGCAACGAAAACCCTACCCCACATCCGTTTTCGTGGCTGTGTTTTGGCTGCATGGTAAAGTTTTACCTCCAGGTTCATGTAGGCCACCATCGATAGGCGTTCAACGTTCGTCATACAGTGCGATGCGCTCGCCGAACGTATTGACGTGTATACACCTGGGAGTTGATGTAATTCCGTGCTAGAGTCTCATCGTGTGGATCTACGGTAGCTGACTGGCTCGAATACTCGTTAACCGATGCTGTCCCCGACGAGCTTCCGGCTTGGACTGCTGAGACAGCAGAGCAGAGGTGAAGACAAGCTCATTCTCAAGTCTCGGCTGAGGGGGGCAAGACTGAACACCTATACGCAATCCCCTCTACGAACCTGGGAGTGAAATATTCCCCCAGAGCCAAGTTCAGTCAAATGTCGCGATACTCAAGAAGTTGGCCCACGAGGCAACGATTCGAATTACTCCACCATGTTAATCTTTCACTCCCATAGAGATAGAATCTTACCTAAGCCTCATAAAGTCTACAAGTACGACCAAGTACATCCTCATCCCAATGACCACACCTCTCATTGATTTTCTCTGGCCTCAGCTGGTCACCAAATACACGTCCGTGCCGATATTTATACCCGACGGAGGAAGCAAAGCGTGGAGCAAAAATCTGGGAGATAGCTCTCTGGGACGGACGTGAGAGGGATTAGGACAAGTTGACAAGAAGATGCAGAGGATGGATGCAGTCTCGACGAGCGTGAAATTTCGAATTTTGGCAAGGAGTTTTACGAACTGAGCTTTGTGCGCGCCAAGACATCGCCAGCGAGAGTGCAGTCGATACTATAAACACCGCTATGGTTGGATGGTGCGGTGGTACATCGTCTTGGCCGGTCTGCCAAGTAGAGTCTGGGTAGCTTGGACACATATCCCACTTGAGACAGTAGATCGCTGGTTCGAATCCGGCAAAACACAACCACATTTCTCGCGGCGCTGGTGTGCATGGATGACGAAGGCATGCTTGGATAACCAAAGGTTTCGAAATTCCCTTTGGTGGGTACTTACGGAGGAGGGACGACTGTTTGAGTAAACGAACATACCTCAAGGTGGTATTTGCAAATGAAATCCAGAGTATGAGTGTCTCTAACGTCAAAAGAGTCATTCAACATGTATACATGGCACCGGTCATGTGTCATAGCTCTATAGCTGAATACACATTAAATGATTAAAAAAAAGTCTTGAATGAGAATCTCTCCCTCCCCCAAAGGTATGCTGGCAATGAGGATAATATTACTAACCAACAGGAATGTTATGCACCATCAAATGCGAAAATAGTTGTCAGGGAAGCCCTCATAATCTCTCATCTCATACTGCCCATCTCCCTACGGGCGATGAGCCCTCCAAGGCAAAGTCAGAAGCCTGCATGTCCACCAAACAAGTAGCCGTCGAATCGGCCAAATTTTTCTCTCATCTCACGATCCCTACTGGACAGGTAGGCGAGACTACAAACTATACGAGCTACTAGATACGTCCGAGTTATGGATTATGTTTGGATAATGGGCCAGGCTAATCAACAACCATTGCACTCGAACAATCTCTTCCCACACCCTGCCACGGCCTTTGATTCAGATCCTCGCGCATCACCGGAGGTGATCAAAGGTACTCCTCGATTTCCGGAATGAGCACGAAGGTCTGCAGTCACCGTGTGGTCTGAGAGGGGAGCCAATGACAGAGTATTGTTTTTATTATTAGTTTGTTTTCATTTCGTCCCTTTAGATACCCTATGGGCCCATGCGAGTATTTCTGCTATAGTAATTACAAAGGAGGATGCCAATTCAGTAAAAACCCCCCAGAACTGTCTATCTCATGTCTATCAGTTTTTCTGAGCTTTCCTACCGGAAGTGCGTTCACACTGTTCATACAATGTGCGTTCCGTTCCGTCCTTGTCCACATCGTCTCATCCTTTCGTCCAATGCAATTTCTACTTCTCCTGCGAGCCGGAATTGTTCAAACCAGCCTTTAGCCAGAATCCATTTTGTGATTCTCTCCGTATCATGTGGGCTGTTCATCATTCCCGCCACGGACCTATCTTATGCCTCTAGAAGCATCTATCCTCTTGCCCACTGAGGACACGCCAAGACCATATGTTTGACATTTTGAGACGGATATTGTCGGAATACTCGGGTGGTATTTATATCACAAGCTTTCTGTAGCAGTAATAACAATTGGTGGTTAATATGTATCTTATTATCTTCTAACTAAAGGAAACACGTATGTATAGCAGTTGTCTCTCTCTCATGACGCTATTCCTAGACAGGCAACTCATTACTCATCAACATAATTAGTCATCATCTATAAGATATTACATGAAAGGTCATTAAGTCATTGGGTCATTCAACAGATATCCAAACAGATATATTGGATTAATCACAACGGGAACTTTCCTTCGATATAGGTAAGAATTTAGACCAATACAGTCAATTCTTATCTGAACTGCGATACTACTCTGGGCCCTGCGAAGGTTTACTTTCATTAATTATTAATTCATTTTATTGTCCTCTCTGCCTATAGGCCAAGGATACCTATGCCAGTAGTATATCCCCTCCTATGCCTCTAATACAACTCCCTTCGAAAAGTACCACCCCTCACAAGTCCTCATTTGATCATGCACTTAGAAGAGCCCTTTGACCTTCATTATCTCCCCTTTCCAGCCAGCGAAACGATAGCCATTTGCGGGTGTATGGCAGTCAGGAAGAATCGCACAAAACCACAGGGTGCGGGCCCTTCTAATACCGACATTAGGACTAAATCCGAAGACATAGTGACCCTTCCGAAGCGTTCGAAGAGTCCGGCCAGCTGGGCGCTGCAGAACTATGTGTACCTCGCGAAGTTCACCCTCTGTCTTTCTAACCTCCTTCCCAGAGGTCGTGCCGAAATTTCAGAAAAGTCTTGATAGAGTGTGATTGCTGTACGGTAGCTTAGCCCAATTTCTTTTGTGCCGTTGACTCCATGACAATAGAAGCCCTCCTAGCTAATTAGCCGAAATCTCGGTCTTGGCGTCCACAAATATTCCAAAGTTGTAAACCCCTCGTAAATATCAGTTCCGACACAGTCTTCAGAGACCTGTTCCCTCTCTCGCTCCACATCTCAGCTGCCTATTCTCCCTCAAGTTATCTATCCCATTAGAGCAATAGTCCCCCGTAAGCCAGGATCCGGGCTTAATATCTTTCGATTTGATTTCCTCCTTGCGGTAGTAAATTGCGTCTTAAATTTGCAGTGAGATATGGCTGGAAATTAATGGGGCAAGCTCCTGTATGCAATTGAAGCAACTTCTTTATTGGTCTTTGAGGTGAGATGATGCGTGGTCAGAAAAAGGTTGAGGACTCAGATGAGAATGGCAAGAGAGGCATCATCAAGAAGTCATCAAATGGAGATATGCTTGAGGCTGATTTCGACCTCCATCTGGTTGCGATTATTTTTGGCTATCCCAGAAATGCAGAGCATACTGAATGATTACACAGGCACCACTGGAAGATGAAGAGTTCGTCTTTGCCGGCTGCGGTAATTCCTTTGGTGGGCGCAAACTCTATAGAATAATTGGACTAGGCTCGATAGGGCATTAATGTCAAGGTATCTCATTATTCTTTGACTGTACATCGTTAGTTTATCACACAGGGCTATACACTAAATACAAAATCTCCGCCTCTCTGCTTCCCACACTCTTAACAGTTTGCGCAGATGCTTAATTCACTCTTGGCTGATGGATAACAGGGGCCAGGCTAGTGTAAACTGGCCGAGGCCTTAAAGCTGAACACTCTACTTTGCTGGCACTGTCTTAGCACAGCTTAATCTATGAAGTCGCTGCGTTACAAGGTTAGTTTCAGCACTGATTTCCTACTTTGTTTCCAGTGGAAATCTCTAGTATTACAACTCACGTTGTATTAGGACTATGGGATGTGGGAATACTCAATAGACCATCACCAGCTTACTTGTAAACTCTACCCATTTTTCGTGCCAGGCTATTAGACGATGGTTAATGTTCGCATAACAAAAATTTATAAGTGGACAGCTAATTTTTAAGATTTCCCTGATTGGTGTAGAATTTGTAATATTGCAAAATATCTCACACCGAGCCTATTGTCTCTATGAAGGATGTATGGATGTTGAGATGATATGTTCACAGATTCATCAAGATTGTCTGTTGCGGAGGCAATGTTTAGAAAGCTCGACAGTTTTTGAGTCGAGTAGCTCGTTGACACGAAAGTGATGTCTCCCAGACCTTTTCTACTGTCTGGGGGCATTGACTGTTCGTCTATCGCTGGAGCTCGTGTTAACAATATATCTGGCAGCATGAAGACGTTTATAGCGTTTTCATGTTAAATTTGTGTTAGCCTCGTGCGAAACAATTGGGTTGTGAACTAAACCTGTTTATATTAAGAGGGTCGTGTGTCTTACATAATGACTTAGTTGTTAATTAGGCTTATTTTGGATTAGCTCGACATAAGCGAGGATTTCACACCATGAAATTTCAAGTCAATTATTCGGATATTATGATCTCTACATAGACGACAGCGAGAGCAACAACTCCAAGCTCGCCCATCATGTCTCTCGTCACGTAAGTTCAAATCCTCATTGCCTAACCAGAGACAAAGTCTCGTCGCTTTTGCGATCAGAAACTCAACTCGCGATTATAAAACAAGGCTCAGTTACTGACAATTCTATAGTGGAGAAGTATTTATACCCATATCGTAGGGAGGGAGGAAATGCTAACATTCTGTGCGGAAATCGAACTTTCAGTTCATTATTCGTCTGCTGAACACTAACATCGAAGGTTATTCTGAATGCATCAAATCGCTTCCAAAGCTAACCAGCAATTAGGGAAACAAAAAGTTATGTACGCTCTTACCAACATCAAAGGTGTGGGAAGAAGATATTCCAACCTTGTCTGCAAAAAAGCCGACGTCGACTTGAACAAGAGAGCTGGAGAGCTCACATCTGAAGAACTTGAGCGGATCGTTACAAGTAGGCTTCTATTGTGACGGAACAGTGCAAGACTAACCTACCTAGTTATCCAAAACCCCACCCAGTATAAGATCCCTTCATGGTTTCTTAACCGACAACGAGACATTATTGACGGAAAGAACTACCAAGTCTTGGCTAACGGTGTCGACTCAAAACTACGTGAAGATTTGGAACGCCTAAAGAAGATTCGTGCCCATCGAGGTCTGCGACATTACTGGGGACTCCGGGTTCGTGGTCAACATTCCAAGACTACGGGAAGGAGAGGAAGAACTGTTGGTGTATCGAAGAAGAAGGGTGGTTAAGTACACTGTTTTGGAAGTATGGATTGGGATACACACGGAAACAAAAATATATTCGTAGTGTCGGTGCTAGGGGATGCTTTAAGTCTCATAAAACAACTATTCCCGAATCGTTTCTTGTGAACAGTGCTTTATCCTGGACTAAAATATTGTACCAGTCAAACCAAACATATTCACAAGGTAAATCTAAGATGACGCCCTTGGTTAGACTTCAAACTTTTCTACTTAAATTGATCGAGCTTTTGATAACGATAACGAACCACGTGTTACAAGTGTAAGTCCTTATATCTTACAAATAAGAAAGTCTGGCCTCCTGACATGAATTATCATGTACTGCCTCAAATTTCAACCAACGTGATGTCCGGCATTATATCAAGGTCAGTTTTAGCAGGGACTTCAACCAAATTTGGCCTCGACTGTGCAATAGTCATCTAGAGCGATGCCGTATAGATCCACAATTTCACACAGATTCAGGACACTCTTAGCAGAACTGCCTCAGATCAACCCACTGTCTTGCGACAAGTTGACCACCATTGTTCTCTGACACTCCATATCTTAATCGGTTTTCTCCCACCGATCAGCAATCATCAGCAGCGTCTTCGAAAGTAACTTCCAGTCAAGTTACATGAAGCGTAATTAGTGCCTTAACCTTCCCTTTCTAACATGCAACACAATTTCCAACCAAGCAAGACCATTTCACAAAAATAGAAAATCTGAGAGTCTTTTGCAAGGTTCAGGAGGGTTTCGGCCCGAAATGGGTTAATACAGGTCACCTATCTCTCTGTGACAACCGGGAGCAACAATGTAACTAGTGTCTATCGCATTCCAATCGAGAGACTTGATATGGGAGAAAAGAAAAACTGTTATCAGTAGCTCAAGGCTCAACTTTTTGAATCCTGCCATTATTTGTAGCTAACTTCAATGCTGGGCCTAGGTGTGCATTAGATGCGCATGGGAAATAGCGAATCGCGGCAGACGTCTTAATTGAAGAGGGATATCCAATCTGACGTAGTCCATCAACCATGTGCTTTTGTATCCTCAAACATAAGCTGATTCTTCCTACTTACTAATCGAATTCGAGTCTAAACCTCTGCTCTCAAAAGTTTGGGATAAAGTTATGAAAATAGGTCTCCGCCAATTCTGGCTTGTTAGTGAGGGACAACTAGTAAGTCAATTTGTGTATGGTACCTCCATAGATTAGATTAGAAAAATGTTCGCGCACCTAATTATTCAATGATCATGGATGAATTCCAGAGTATATATGAAAGTTTCTCATCACAATCTGTAAAAATAGAATATAATTAAATTTAAGTCCCTACTGAGTCTATGACTATGAAGGACTGCTGAAAGTACACATTAAACTACCAAAATTCACTTTTTGTTATATATACTGTTTTTTCAATCTATTCCAATAGACAACACACAAAATCTGTAAAATCAAGCTTGTCTACCTTAGATTTCATCCTTGTGAACGGCCTCCGTGTGAATTTCCATCATTTTAGGGTCCAGGTCGAAGCCTAGAGTTTCAATTTAGAGCTGGGGATAATTCTCTGCATCTCTTTTAAACTCAGGAAACTCCTTGTCAAAGTAAATGAATCACAGGAGAGAATTTAGTCAAGAGAGGCTTTCACATAAAAATGAACAACAACTTTCTCCCCTCACACTCTCTAGTCTGGGGAACGAAGTCCTTAATATCTGCCAGAAGTCTCTTCACGAATCACCAGCTCTCGCAGTCGAGTCTACAGAATAGAGTAAGCCTGACTCTAACGGGAGATCTCTATTCTCGGAAAATCGATCATGTCCGTTACTAAGCGAGACGGTTGATAAGACTGAGTACCTGCCCGTCATGTGCTCAACGGACCTAGGAATGAAATACCTTCTCAGAGACAAGTTCAACCATAATCCGCGACACCGAAGAAGTTTGTCCGTGAGATAATGATTCGAGACTTCTTACCACATCAATTCTTCACTACCAACGAAATTGATTCCGATCAAAGCCCTGTAAATTTAACAGGACCAAGTACATCCTTATATCAATTATTACACCACTTATCGAATCGGTCTCTGGCTTCGGCTAGCTTTTAAATACATGCCCACGAGAATACGAATACCTGCAGGAGAAGACTAACCCTGGTGTACGAATCTGGGAGACAGATTTTAGGACGGAGGTGGGATAGGCGAGGTCAGAAGAAGTAGATTACGCTTAGCAGTGACACAATCTTAGAAGAGTGAGATTTCAAAATTCGGGAAGAGATTTAACAAGATGATGAGCATTGTGTGCGGCAAACCTTAAATTCTTACAGGATTGCCAGCACTGTAGGCACAGTTTTGGTTAAATGGTGCGGTGGTTCATCATCAGGGCTGGTCTGTCAAGAAGGGTGTAGATGGGTTGGACGAAAACCTCCATCTGAGATTGGAGCCGGCTAAATCGTCTAGCAGGATCATACAATATGCACCGCCATACTCGTATGCACATATAATTGTCATGTGTTTTGACAATCAAAAATTTTGAACACCTATTTTGTGGGTACTCACGGAGGAAGGACGAATGTTAAGTGAAGACGAACTTACCTCGTAGTAATATTTAAGAATGATATCTGTCATGAGTATCTCTGGGATCAATAAAGCTATTCCACATATATACAAATTATTAATTACATATCAAAGCTAGATCGGCGAATGTACATAAAATAGTAATAAAATAAGTTGAGAAAGTCTACATTTATCCGTCATTTTCTATTTGGACCTTTTCAACATTTCACTACCACCTCTGATTTCTACCGGGCAACTAACGACCAAATTAACCGAAAGGTAGCCAAAAGATAGAAAGCGATACTCTTAGATGGTCATAATTCGGTTGGAGGATAAAGACTGAATATTTATCAACTATGTCACCAACCAACCTGAGATTCAGATATTCTCTGAGCCATGGTTTGGCTACAATAAAGGTGATAAGAAATTTGTTCAATGAAATATTAGCTGGAAGGAACCCTTGGTATTTCAATTGAGCAATCAGCCAGTGGAGATTTGACCGTAGCATTCGAGTCAAAAAGCCTTCACTAACACATGACCTGTGTCTAGATCTAGCTCTATCTCGGAATTATATTTTCACAACTATCTCACTCGAAAACAATGAATAATTGAAGCGGATACAATTAGACTCGCGATATTGTGTTGCCGCAGGTGCTGCTCAACGTTCCACAAACGCTTTCATACTATTTGGACATCATTTTCGGATTTCTCGCCACAGAGTAAACCCTGCACACAAGCAATAGTATGACAGATTCTAGAGCTACTGGTAGAAAATAATATGGCCTTATACGCGTCATAGATAGCGATAAATGAGGTAGCAAACAATCAAGGGGAATTGAAATCTTTCAACACATTCGGGGCCTTGACGAAGCTAATTCTATTATATAAGATGAAGAGCAGTCTTGCTGATAATAAAAATGATTCTAATGATATAGTTTGAGGGCTGAACGAGGTTAAAAAGACTTTTATATCATACTATAAGACGTGGCTGGAAGCTTTCCAGAAGGAAAAACCATCGGAACAATGGATGCTTGCCCTGGTAGAATCATTCATGAAGGGATTGAATGAGACTGCCAACCAATCTTGACCTGCTTCCACGAATGAAAGTCCTGGTTCCAAACTCTCATGTGTTCCAGTCGCAGTATAGGCCGGGGAACGATCGGCAGTCCTTATAAGATTAGAGAGCACCCATGATATAGAGCCAGCTCAGCTGCTATTAATAGTTGAGATAAATATCCAAGGAGAATATGCAGTTAGGCAGATGAGGAGTTATGATACAGAAATCTTAATTAAATTCTCATCAGAGCGTGATGTGGCCTAGATCACGAAACAACCAGAGGGCTTTAAATTTCGTCAAGACTACTTTGATGAGATACCTTGCTTAAAATTAGTAACAAATATCAGGTAAGCAAGAGCATGGATAATAGCCTGCTCATTCAAGTGATTGTTGCTTCTACTTTTGTTAGAATTCTTGGGATCCGGATAACAAGAGATCGGCGGCTTCACAATGGGGAAAAACATAATCGTGCAAAGAAAATGGTGAAAATCTGAAACGTTATAATTCGATACTCTCTATTATTCAACTCTGATCACGGCGAGCCCAAGTGAAGCATTGCTACAACTGTAGTGAATGGAGGCACACAGTCGTCCCATAGAAATTAGGCGAGGTGTAGGACATGTACAAGAAGCTAATGACCAAGGAATTTTCAGAAAGAGAGAGTTTCCTGTAGTAGTTTTTGAGAATCTCATTACTCGCGGTGAAGCACAGTCTTTGAAACTCTTCAGACATACAGGTCAAGCGTTCAAATAGATAAATAAGACCTCCCAAGGAGAACTAAGGAGACTCACAAGGAAAAGAATCTTAAAATTTCAATACTGTCCTAGCAAAGGCAGACGTAGACTAAGGCTTTCAACCAATTACTGTCGCAGAATGTATAATGGGAATATCGGGATCTGTATGGGTCAGGATAAATAACCGTGTTGTGCGATGAGAAGAGTAAATCAAAGAATGTACGTGGAAGTCTTCAAGTCCCAAGTTCGCTAAGCCATTCCTGGGACTTGGTCCTGTGATAATTACTACAAAAAGCGAGATAATGCGACGGCGATTGGTGTTAGAGTGCACCTTCATAGAAGACTTAGGCCATCGTGGATGAAGACTCCAACTGGAATGCCTGAAGCAATTTTCTTGTGGATGACGGCTAAACAACTGTCAGTAGTGTCCTCTACGAACCTAAGAGTTTGATACTCTCCCAGAGCTAAGATTCACTCATAATATAATACAAAATCGAGAGTATTCGTCGATATTAATGTCGGGAGGAGGAGTTTTGGCAACTTTAGGGTCGAAAACCCGACCTGCAGAGATTTCACCACTAAAAAACCCAACGAATACAATCATTTACACCTCAAATACGCACTGTGGATGGAATCAAAGCTGTCCGATATTTACGCTATAACTATTGATATTTTTCATC